TTTGTCATGCGAGACTACCAAGGATGTTTGAATCTCAGGTTGTGCAGATCACTCCTGCACACAGTTGAGATTTAAACAAGTGGTAACTTGGAGGTGTGGTGGCTAACACCCCACACCGGCCCCGGTATAAGTCCTTAGTGTCATGGACTACAGCCTGAAGAGTTACTCCAAGCCTAGTTAAAGTGTACAAGTAGAGATGCTTCTGTAACACCGTATACAGTCATGCCGTCTGTCTAACTGGATGCTATGCGCAGGGTGCCTGAGCTGGTAGAGGGGAACCTGGAGAATAGTTTCAAGGCAGCTTTATGCAAAACAGACCACAACTGATGGAGTAATACTACTTGGAAGTTAGAAGAAATTTGTGAGGTTGCCTGTAAGAGGAAGACAATCTGATAGACTTCAGAATTGTCTAGGCCAATCAAGATTCATTTCTGTAGACGGAGATTGCCTAGGAAGGCTGGAGTTCACTCGTTTCATTTATAACTACTAAGAGTGAAGTAAATTCGGTAAAGTAAAATAGAATAGTAAAATAAGTTTATATTGTTAAGGTATCTTCTCCATTGCATGATAATGTATAAAGCTTGGGAGGCACTTCGATATTTATATTCCACATCTGAGTGTTTGCGGACTACATCTTTTTATCATACAACCATGTACCTTTCTGAATATAACTCGCAATGTCAGGTATTCTTGAAAGATGTGAACACCTGGAGACCCAGAAAATCACTACACCCTCTTTAGCAATTACAATATAATTGAAGCGGAACCGGACTATTTCCAATAGTAGTTATCCAATTCTTAGAGTCTTTAGACTTGTGGCCTAGTTTTCAAGTTGAACTGAGTTGGCTCCAATTGTCTTCATTGTTGATGAAATGATCAGTTTTATTTGCGGGTTGCATCTGCCAAGGTAGTTGTAATCATAACCTTTTTTCAGATTGCCAGATTCAAATTCCGGTAACTTTTTACTCAACCTACAGATATCTTCTACAGGACTTCCTACCAATTCACAGAAAGCTATTCCTGTCGATTGACAAATCTTCTCTCGATTGGCAACCCTTAGTTGCTCTGTGAAACAGGGTTTCAATCACTGTGTAATATTAGAACTCATTCCTAGAACTATAATGTGTTCTGAAACCTAGCTGCAACACTCCGATATGTCTAATAGCTTCTATGGTAGTGTCCCTCAGGGTTCTGAACTCTTTCAAATGTTGTAGGATGAATCTGAATGTATTGGTCTCTTGTTGAAATTCTTTACTACTTAATACTATCTCTTTGTACGAAAACATCCCGTTACCTATCCCCCATACCAAAGGTATTATATCTTTGAAGCCTACTAATCTTCTGGGTAGTTGACAGATTTACTCCATTCCACTTCTCAGACCTAGCCAATGGTCCCCTCCCATACTGGCTGCGAACAGGATCTAGTCGGAGGGACAACGGCGATGTATATGGTATTATTCTGATACCTTTGGTTCTGTAATATTATAGTCACAGGATGAAACTGAGATTGATATGTTTGATAATGTGCAGGCCCTGTAAGGGGGCCGGGGAGGGCTATTGGAGATCAGAGATTCTGATTCAGGATGGGGTTACCCTACTTAGGATGACTCCAAGGTATCAGATCCTGATATTCCTAATATGAGCTCCTTCCTCTTAATGCTTCACCCTGGATGCCTTTTTTGTACATAAAATAAATTAAAAAAATAAAATATTAAAATATTAAATCCTTAAATATTAGCTCCATTAGAACCCGATGAGAGCAGGGTGAAAAACCTTCCACGTTTGCAGGGCCATAGTAGGAAAAACCTTTCTTCATTATCCTTCCGCTGCCTGCCGTGGTATTTCTGGCTTATCGCGCCGGCACTTTTCTACCATTTCCTTTGCATTATTCATGCCTCTGGCAGGTTCCCGGGTATTTTCATCTTTGGAACAACTTTGCCATTTCACAAAGTACCATCATTTCGCCTACCTCCTAGTAGTGACCGTGGACTCTCTTTCGGTAAGAGCCTATCTTGCTTCTCATGATTTTCTCTATTTCCCAGTTTAAGTTACCAATATTATCCTCCTGCACTCAGGGAGGTTGTTCTCTGTTCACCCATGCTGACTCTCTGTAAGGTTCAAATACAGATATGTGGAACACTGGGTGTATGTTCCATCAATCTGAAATGTTGAGCTTGTAGGTATGATTCCCTCTTTTTTCCAAGATCATGAATGGTTTATATAATTTTGGACTAAGTTTCTTTGACTTCTGATGTGTATGAATGTTCTTTGCATTTAATATTACTTTATCCCCTATTTTAAAGTCTGGTTGTTCCTTGGCCTTTCTATTATAGTATTTCCCCATGGCTTCCCGTGTCTGATGGGGTGACTGCCTTACTTGTTCCTGGATTGTCTTTAGCTAGTTTGCATAAAGTATAGCTCCTAGATTTTACGCCTCGCATTCCTTCATCGATTTCCTTTGTGGATGAAATCCATAGTTTGCATAGAAAGGTGTCATTCTATGTGTATTGGTTGTTGAGTAATTATAGGCATATTTAGCTAGAGATAGTAATTGGTACCAGTCATCTTGATCATTGTTGACGAGACATCGCAGGTAACCTTCCAGCACTTGGTTGGTTCGCTCAATTTTTCTGTCCATTTGTTGGTAGTACACCGTTGACATCCTCCTTTTTATGCTAAATGTTTTACACAAATATTCCAAAAATTCTCCATCAAACCTCGAGTACATATCTGAGACAATTTCTGTTAGTAAGCAATATATCTTCCAGATTTCCTTTATAAAGGCTGTAGCTACGTCCTTCGCAGTAGCAGTTCCTTCTAATTCAATGAAGTGGACCATATTTGTAAACCTGTTGACTACTACCATAATTTGGGTACAACCTTGACTTTAGGCTAACTGCATAATAAAATCGACGCATATTGAGGCTCAAGATGCATAGGGTATTGACTGTAGTTGTATTAGACCATATTTCGCGTATTGTGGCGATTTGTTATGTTGACAATCATCACACAACCACACGTAATTGTTTATCCAATCTGCCCGGACTTTCCAATATAAATCCCTCATAATTATTCCAAGAGTTTTTTCTTGTCTGAAGTATCTTGCTATTCCAGCATCGTAACACCCTTCAGTTATTGTTGTATTAAAGTCCTACTTTTTTGGTATAAATAGCCTTTACTTATAGTAAAGCAACTTATCAAATAAGGTGCAGGCTTTCGGGAAAGGGTTGCCATTGTCTCATAGTTTCTCCTACTCATTTTTTCATTTAAGCCATTCTTTATCTCCTGGCATGGCCTTCTGGATTTGCTCCAAACATTCTTCCTTAAATTTCTTTAATTCCTTGCGAGCTAGTATAGTACTAGTCATGAGGGTTAGCTTAGATATTTCGGCTGTATCATACCAGTGTGTATTCAGGTCTATTGACATATGTCATTGGCTGACTTTTGGTTCCAATTTCCCGATAGTAATAGTCCATGTTGCAATGTCTGTGCTGCCGAATTGCGACACACCTCTTTCACTATCTTCTAGGTTGTCTATTTCCATCATATTCGAAGTGTAAATTTTTTCTACTACTTACTGTACACTTAAATCACCAGTTTTGATGAGACAATACATGTCTAGATGGTTGAATAGCAATACTTGGAGTTCTCCGGTATAATCTGTATCAATCACACCGGCTTTGGTAGAGATACCGCTTTTGACTGCTAATTGACTTCTTAGGGAAATTCTCTTATATGTTCCAACTGGCAGCCCAATTGCAATACCAGTCCCATCCATTAACTGTTCCTGTGCTGGGATTATATCTTCCTGCATATTGTAATGATTGTGGCTTACTGCCATACTTGAATCTTTGGTTAGTAACCTTACTCTTGTATCTAACTGTTTTACTTGAATCACAGCATTCGAGTTACTCCAACTTGCTGTTTCCTGTATATCACATGTGCTTATCTCCTCTATTGTGCTGCTTGTTATTAGGCATATTGGAATTTCCCTTTCTACAGCTATTGTGACTGAACTGACTAGAAAATATTCGGGTTACAATATTGCTTATTCACGATGTAAATACCTGATCTGGTTACTATTGTAGGATTCTGCAGAACCAGTGGCTTGA